CAGGGGATTGGGTTCAACAGGTTAATTCAGTTAAAAATAAGAGTTATTTTACCATTAAAGCCCAATGTGACAGATATTTGACACTAGGGGGGGTTTCTTTTTAACTTAGTATTAATTTCCAAAACAGAAGGGTGGTTGAACGGATCATAAACTGGGTTTGGCCTGAAGACAGCAACACAATATAATATTGTGGTGACAGATGGTCTGTGAAAAGCTGGGAATTCTTCAGTACCAGGCTGTGAAGTGGCGACTTCCCAGGGTGTGTGGATGCTGTGTACAGAATCTCCAAACTCTGGCAGAGAAAATGCTGATGTGTTGATGTGAAACTGATACAATGGCTTGCCAACGTTGTGTGTTTAGAAAGTTATTCAAAGTTCAACTCTTTCCCTAGTTGAGAGGTATTTTAAAAATAAATGTTGCATGTTAACATCAATAACCCATTTCCTAATTCATCATGTTGGTGCTTATTTTTATAATAACTTTTATTTGAGTTGTCCATCGCCTTGAGGGAGACTGAAGTGAATTAAAGTAAATGCAGACAAATAGGGCCATCTAGTGGATAAGTATACATATTACATAGCTTTTTTAAACGGTCAGGGCATATCCCATTATTATGCATAATGAGTAATGTGTTGTCAGTATTTTTGCATCAGGACATTGGTAAAGTTTGATAAATCAGCATTAGGCTACATGTATTCATGTTACCTTATAGATTGAAGTGAAGTATATTCGTTAGCCGTAGATATATTTACAGGGGAACTCCATTTCAATTAAGTTGGGAGGCATGTTAAAAAAACAGTAAAGTATGGTCAAAGTTACAGCAGCAGGGGGTGGAAGTCAAAGTCAGTCAAAGTCAACTTTATTGTCAATGTTCTGTTTGTGTGATACAGACAGGGAAATCGAAATGCTGTTTCTCACAATGCAGTGTGCCAAAAAACACTGGTTTCTAGATTTCCCATAATGCAATTGTCTTTCATATAACACTTCCTACCTGATAAACATGCACATCTTGTAAACTCCAAACTGAAAGTTTGTAACTTTCTGTCATAAAACAGGTGACATATTTTTTAAACAAAGGTCAAAGGTCCTTCACAGCCAAAGAGACACTATTCTGTTCTGATCAAAAATCTTTTTATTGCATTTATTGCGACACCATACTGTTCTGAATGCTGTATAGGACTCCCCATTACAAGGGAATTGATTTTCATGTGAAACATATTATAGGAATATAAACATAGCTTTTTTATTATCAGATTTTTTCTTTTTAAATAAGCAGTTGTTGTTTCTAACCAGTATCCTGTAAATGCATTACCTAGTTAGAAATGTGTCTTTACCTGATTTTATATACTACAGTTTTTCTATTCATGTGTGTTTAAGCTTTGACAGAGAGTACATTACTTCAATGCTTGGATAATCATTCCAATGATAATGTTTGGAAGTGTCTTTTCTCTCTCATGGCAGGAAAAGGACAGGTGTTACCATGTAATGAAGCCAGCATGCTCATTTGCTCAATGTAACGACCCACTGTCACACCAGCTGGAATGCAGCCATAATTTACGTTATTAGTTACACCTGTGTGTGAAATGTTCAAGTGCCTGCCATGAAAGAGGTTTATGCTGTGTCCAAAATCACTTACACATTTCCTGTCAGTGTTGGAAGAAATATTTGTTATCCTTTGGAAAACATCAAAAAGTTGATTTCAAGTCTGGGTCAATGTGTCTGAGAGATGAAGAGCAGAGTCAGGAACCTAGAAAGTATCGCCTAAGGGCAAGCAGACAGGCAGAGCTTTTCAGAAGGATGGCCAGATGGCAGGGCCGATGGGCGGAGCTGGACCTGAGGGCAACCACGAGTCTGGGCACCATGGGCCACCTGAGGGGAGGAGGCCGTCGGGCGAGCAGCATCAGTGACGAGGGATGCAGCTCCCAAACCTTATCATAGACCGGAGTGTAGATTTGAGGATAGCAGGCTATGAAGCAGGACAGATAGGGGACATTTTCAGGATAAACGGGCTGAGGGGAAGTGCTTGCATGCAACCTCCACTGTCACAAGGTGGGGGTAAGGAAGGCAGGACCAAAACGCAGAACAAAGAGAGGGAAGGGGGTTATGAAAAAAAAAAGAGCTTAAAAAATAAAGCTGGTACCAAAAAACACAAAACAGGCAGGGAAACACAAGGCAGGAAGTAAAAACAAACACGAATCAGGTGGGCAACATCTCAAAATAATATCAACGGATGGAAGAATGAACTCAAAGCTTTTGCAAAATCGCTCCAATACATAACGGACAAAAACACCCAGAAAGTGTTCTCATTATTGGACTTATTTATGTTGCTTGATCTGCACATTTTCGCAAAGCAAAAACATTTAATTTTAATGTTGTTGTTTGCACTGTATCAACACCAAGTTACATGTTGGACTGTTACAATGAGCCTTGATGGTTTGTGAAATAATTGTCCATACAAAATACATTTCAAAATTTCAAAATTTCAAAATAAAACATCTCAAAATAAAACAGGAAACAAGTTTGGGATCTGAGTTACGTCACATATTACATCACAATTAGGCGTTGTTTGGATACATTGACCAAATGTGTACTTTCCTGTTTGGAAACATATAAACACTTAATAAAAGTGACATATTAACAGCTTTTAGCCTGGCTGAAAACTTATGCCAGGGCAACATGCCAGCAGCTCTCTCATCTAGAACATCACAGCTAATTTCCTAACAGGAAATGTGCATTAACTGACTACATATTGGAAATCTTAATGGTCACTTTCTCACATGAAAACACATGAAAACATAATAAAGTGACATATAAACAAATGATTGCCTGGCTGAAAACCTGCTCCCATACGCAATGCATTGTGGGGCAGTTGCGTAGGCACAGTAAGCTCATATAAGAAATGGTTGCCAATATAGAATACTGTTCATCCGTGCATTTCTCTCAAACAGTAAATGCAATAAATAATTCATTTTAATTGATAAATAACATGGTCATATTTTGACACAGACAGGGGGAGCACAGAAGACAAAGGGAAAGCGGGAAACGCCAGGGGAAAATACTGCCATGACACTCTTGAATCATCATATTGTCAAGTCTTTGAGTGCAAATATTCAGCAGGATATGACAGTTAGAACTTTGTGGACTGCTGTCAGTCCACAGGCATGTTCTGTCTCCTGTCATAAACTGTTATTCTCCTCAGCTCAGCCAAAAGATTTTTGTTCAAAGAAGTGCGGGTGTGAAAAATCAAGCCCCTGTGATTATAATTACTGACACATTATCACTGATCAGGAGTTTTCTTATTCAATACAACCAAAAACACAAACTCAATCTTAGCATGGGACACTTTCCACCTCAGTAAGTACACCAATTTTAGAGAGGAAAATATGTGGGATACTGCCTACAGCAACATTATCATTGAATTTACTCATTGGAAGAATAATATGTTGGTTCAAGTTCCTGCAAGCTGTAATTCTTGGAGCTTTCACAGTGGCCACATGTCTTTTGCCAGTTTCAGCAGAGCCTGTGTCTACATTCCTCTGCAGCAGCACGACTGCTCCATCTTAACCTGAGGCGTAGCTTTGTCCCATGTTGACTTCCACAGAAGCCTATGTGAGTTCCCGAGGGCCAGATGTGTGGAAAGGACCTTTTGGAGATTTAACTATTTGCTCACACGTTGGCATTAGCATGTGTTTACCCAAATGTAATAAATGGGTTTAAAATAGTGTTAAACACATAAAAGTCATTTTATATGGTTGCACTCTTGGTAACTGTTCCTCAGGCTTTTGGAGAAGGTGAACTGTGCCAAGCCGTGAACAAAGTCTCTCTTTGTGGTTTCTGCACATGCTCTCTGTCCAGTGCAACAGGGTGAGTGCATTGTATAATTAATTAGAAATAATCACTTAGGAGTGTAAATGTTCCACATTTGTCCTCCTGAAGAACACAAACTGAGCTGTTTGCCGGTGTTCATCCTGGCACCATCACATACGCTCCAACCCGCTGAGGGACCACGCTGTTGGTAGAAACAGAACTTACTTCGACCATGAAGGCACATAAACACATCCAAGGGCACAATAAACATGGGATCAGTTATTTAGCCCACAGGTTGGAGCAAAGACAATCAACCTTAGTACTATTATATTTTGTTTTTGTGTTCCAAAAATCTCAGATCTAAGCATATTCTAAAGCTGAACATATGGGAAACAAGTTACAAATAACTCAACTGATGCAGAGAATAAACATTATATATAGTGGACATGATAACATGGTTTGCTGGTTGCAATTCAACAACAGTATAAACCAGGAACTAATTAACTGCATTAAATTATATCTGATGTTTTGCGTTTTACTGTTATACAGTAGATGTCTAAGGTGGTGCTAAGTTATACATGGTTAGGTAATTTAATTTATAGCAATTTGGTTTGTAACATCGGTGTCCTGTAAGAACCTCATATCTCTAAATAATCCACTTTTCAGAAACATTCAAAAATAAATAGGTAATAATAAATATATGTATCGTGGAAATCATAAAATGCAAAGCTCCTTTGACAGGATAGGATCAAGGCACATGAAGGTAGTGCTGTTTCAAATCAATGAACAGAAGAAAATAAATACAGAGAGGAGAGGGATAAAGACATGTCATTAATGTTCACCTGTAAACGCTGAGAGCAGAAGCTTTTAAAAGAAGAGTGTGTCTGTGACCCTGATGACAACCAGCTGAAAGCTTTAAAAGGGAGTCTCAGCTTATGAAGAGCAGAGAGGGAAAGAGAGAGAGGGAGGGTGAGATCAGATGTGGATGGAAGGGGGAGCAGAGCAGTCCTGAGGACAGACGGAGGAAGTGAACAGGAGGATGGAGAAGGTGTAGAGTCTGATGTGAGGCTGCAGATTCACGGTGAAGAGAAGAGGAGAAATGCAACAGGCAGAGACGCAGTGCTAGGGGAAGTGAAGAGCCCAGGTCAGCTCCAGTTATATGCAAGTAAGGTCGTGAAAGTGATCAGGCCAACATGCTGCCCTGGAAGATGGTCATTGTTGGTGTTTTCTACAGCTGCATCCGAACAGGTGTCTCACGAAGTCGGACTAAAGGTAAGAATTGAACTCAGCATTTTGATCAAAAATTGCAAACTTGTTTTTGTGGAAGATGTTTTTGTATCTACATGTTTCTTTACAGAGCAAAGAGAACATTTAGCAGCACTGTAAGTTGATTGTGAGAATTCAATTGTGGAGTAATCCAAATAAAGTGATAACTGAGTCTGGGATGCAGGAGAATGTATGACAACATAAGATTTTGTAATTTATCTGTGTTCTCTTTTTAGATGTTTCAATACATTTTACATTTTAAAGCCCCAATTTGTTTTATAGAGAAGGTATGTCTGACTGTGTTCATTGTTCCTTGGTTTTGCTGAACTTTAATATTAAACCCGAAACAGAGAGATCGTCATCTTTTTATTTAGTTTCCGAACTCTGAGGTTTCCCAAATTATTGTACAAGCAAACATACTTTATGAAGAGGAATGACATTACTTTGTGTATTGGACAGACATATATCAGAAAAGCAAAACTGCTTGGAATTGAGGAGCCTATCCTCTGTTTCAATAAGAACTCAATAAGAATCTAAAACAGCAGAGCTACAATAAATACCGGAGAAAATAATAACAATATTGTGGAGGTTAAATATTAGTTTTTGAAGTTGTCACTACAATTGTACTTTTTCTCTCATCCAGCTAGGTTCATATGTCATCTGCACATGTTTCTAATATGAAAACAAAGAGAGGGTCCAAAAGTGAGATGATATGAGAGAGGAAACTCATATTCCTCAAGTGAATGAAAAGCATATTGAGATATCCAGACCAAGTCTGCTCAGGGAATTATTTTTGTCATAAAGAGTAAGATCTTTTTGTGATTAGATTGTATAAGAATCATATTGATCCTATCACTTATTGAAAAAAACACTTACAGATATAAACAGAGGCAAATATTCAATAATGGATGCGATGCTACAATCCTGATCGTAGAATTTTCCAGTTTTGGCTGTGGACACTTCTACATTGACAGGAAGTGAAATTCCAAAAATGAAATCCAAGCAACAGTGAGAAACACGTCATACACACATCGTAAACAGGCTGGAATCACCAGGTAATATTTGGACCTTTAAAGGGGACCTATTATGCAAAATCCACTTTTTCATGTCTTTTATACATAAACTTGTGTCTCCTGTGTGGAAAGAGATTCTGGAAGTTTCAGGAAAAAAGATTCGCACACTTTTTATCCTGATCCATTTATATAAAAACCACAGATTTTGGCAACTTTATGATGTCATAAGTATTTTCTGACTTGTGTAACCATTAGCCAACAGCCAACCAAGGTAACACCCGCCACCTTATCACCTGAATCTTCTCCTAGAGCACCATTGTGTTATTTTTAACCAAATCTTTCTCAGAGGGGCGTGGGGAGGGGCTCCTTATTTTCATCTAAAGTAACAGACAGAGAATCAGCACTTTGGAAACAGGGCTGAAACAGAGGGGATTATGGGATGCTGCAATGATCTGTTTGGTATTTCAGCCAAACACTTCAGAGACATGTTTTGTACATATCTGAGACCTATAATGATGAAAAACAGTATAATAGGGGACCTTTAATACCGAGTTCAGCTTGTGAACATAAAACACCCTGTGTTCAGTTTACTGAGTGATTTGTGGATACGTTTCCCAAACAATTACCTCTTACTGCCAACTGGATCACAAGCATGTGAGTTTGACTGGAACCATGTGATCTAAACACAGAGAGCTCATGGTCTTCATTATGTTTAACTTTTTGCAAATACCATTTAAAAGTCCAGCATAAAGGCAATGAATGACGTGTGTGAAGTGGCTAATCCAATTTGTTCCCAATGATTAACACACAGCAATGCCTTTCAATTAGCACAATTTGGATTCCTTAAAAGTTAGTTGAAGATGTTGGATATTTTCGTTGTCAAATATAGCAAGTATTTTAGTTTGTATCTTTTAGCGTAATTTGGAGGACTCAAATAAATTATTATCCTAAAAATCAATGCATACCTTTACTGGCTATATTGAACTTAGATCTGTGAATCATTATCTAAAAATAAGAAGTAAACCTTGTGTGGAAAATATGATAATGCAGCTGCCTAAAATCAACTTGTTGCACTTGTTGAGCCTAACATAAACAAGGACACGGCCAAGAGCGAAAGGGTTGGCAGTTGGGTAATTGACTCTGGCTAAGACATTTAATGGATTACTTAAGTAACTTCCAAAAACCTCTCTCCTGTTTTCCTTTTATTTTCTCGTTTTAAAAAGAATAAACACTCTATGAGCAGGTCACTATCTTTACTTCTGCACGTTGGCAGGTTGAATGATATCAACACAGAACAGTTGAGTCACAGTCCCTTTAGCACTGGTCTGAATACCTGCATGAAAGGGTAGCGTTCTGTCTGTCTGCATTTATATCTTTATGACTTCCTTTCATTTTTCCCTCCATCTGTTCTCCTTTTATCAACCCATAATTGTAACCTGAAGCCTATGCTCTATTTGAAATGTTAACTGCATGAGGTCCAGATTTTACACGCATTAATAAAACCAGCAAGCAAAGAATGTTGGAGATACTGGACAGTAAGTGAAAACAGTCTAAATATCTCTGTGGTCTGATTTCTTTCTGTCTTTCCCCAATCTCCTTACCTTGATGAATGATATTGTCAATTGGTCGGTGGTTCCGCCACTTTGATATGGGTGTGTCTTCAACAATTATTGTTGACATTCATGTTCCCCCAGAGGATCAACCCCTCTGACTTTGGTGATTCCTTGACATTTCCTCTAACATTACCGGGTCAATTGATCGTTTTTTACCAACATTTGTTCAGACCAACACAAACAAATGGGGTAACGTCACATGCACTACATCAACTTTTTGAATATATATTATGGTACTCACATTCATGGTCCCCATGTAATTACTTCTAATGACTTTCAAGATTCCATTGTTAAATTATCTGAAGTCCACCGTAGGTTCTCTTAGTATAAATGACTACAATGAATGGGTGAGGAGGTAAGAGCAAGAGTTTTCAGTTGGTTGTATCTGCAACCTGACCACTACATGTAGGTGCCAATAAATCCATAACACTGTTTCCTTTGGAGCTCTGTTTCTGTATAGTTAATTTTTCAAGAGATGTGACTGCAGAGTATTTAGTATTCAAGTCTGTGCATGGTTCATGTTTCCTCTTGCTCCAATCCTGAACAAGTAAAGGAAAAGGTATTTGCCTTTGAGCTTTCTTTGTCCATGGAATATTTGTTGCGGTTGAAACCCTGCTTTCCCATGCTGTGGAAATTAGGCTGAAATGCTAACCCTATACACTGCATGCCAAAATCATCTGGAGCCTGTTGTATGATCTGTGTGTTACTCCGCCTTTGATTCCTCTGCTGGCTTTGAAGTCTTGTCTCCTGCAGATAGAAGTCATCTGTAAGGTCAGAGACCGTAGAGTTTGAAATGCATATTCTATATTAACTGCAGTTTGTCCTGGTGAGGGCAAGATACACCTGGATATCACATGTGCCAGAGCAGTTTAAACTGCTTGTCACAGGAATGTCCAACTAACACGTTCTAGAAGCCTTTTAAGTAGTAAATCATCCCCAAAAAAAGCATAAAGTGAAACCTGAATGAAAGGCTTTGCTAAAGAAACTGTCCCTGCTTATCTACCAATCTCATTCTCAGTCTTTTTCTCTTTTCAAACAGCACTATTCCCAGCTTCACGCAGAATAAAGCGAGGGTTGGAAAGTCTGGTGAACCCCAACTTCCACAATTCCTTTGATGATGTTCATTTATTATTTGAGGTGAGATGACTACGTCCCGAAATGTAATTTTAAAGTGAAAAAGCATTGACTAAACCTCAAGGATTGACACTGATAATTTCATCTTCTAGATCCTGCTGGCAGGCACACATTTTGAGGCCAGTGGAGCGTTTTCGGTGCAAGATGCTGAGCTTGCTTCCCTCCGCAAGACAAGAAATATGGAAGTCATATGTGAGGAGATCATTCCCAGGAAGCTAACAGATGTATTTAGGCTCATCTCTGGCCTTTCAAATCACATTGGTCACCTACATCAGGACGATTTTGAACGCACCCTGTTGACCTTGGTGTACACCGCCCAGGGGATGGCTAATTCCAGTACTGAACACCAACAAGGCTTATGGGCTGATTCTTTTGTTAGTTTGTACAAAGCAATCAAGCAGGATCTGACAGTGACAAACTGAACGGATAATGGTTTTGCTAATGGTTCAATTCATGTTAAATAAATATCCATGGAGATCAGTGAATATGCCTGGTATGTGCTTTGGAACTATCTTGTGTCCTAGCAGGAGACTGAGAGAGAAACCTGTAAAAAACTGGTTGGTGGTAAGATAATGATACAATTAAGTAAATAATAATTAATTTACTGTCACAGAAAAGTTAATTAAAACATGATGTATATACAGATGAATTAAAATGCTGAAAGCAATACAATGGATCTACTTACATTCATATGTCTTTTCAGTGTTTGTTCACTAACACCTGGCTGCATTCTAAGACTGAGAAGACCATAGACATTGAAACAAGAAATCATTGTTTACACTCCAGTGGTATGCTCTGTGAGTACACATGACTGTACAGAACATGTCTTCAAGATGATATATATGTTATCCAGTTTATAATATCATAACTTTTTAACACGAACAATTAATAAAGATATCTAATAAAACTAGCCTCATGTACCTAAGTTCCTCCCTAAAGAAAGTCCACATAGTATCCAATTTCATGCAATTGCCATTCGCAAATGTCACTTCAAAGCTCATGTGGAATTCCACCACGTTGTCACAGTACAGTGTCTTTAACAAAGGTCAGGATGTCCAAACTGAGCTGCCTCTGATGGTTTTCTGGAAAAAAATCCATAAAATGCATGCTGAAGTGAGTACAGGACTCACATGGCAACTCCAATAATAATCTGTGAAGGCTCTGCATGTCCAAGTGGCTGCTTAGGCTCCAGGGCATTAGTATGTGCTCCACTTCCGTCCAGGGAGTCTGGCTCACTCGGAGGGCAGAATGGTATGTACCGGATCCAGGAGGAAGAAGACAAGTAAGAGCTGATGCCAAAGGGAAGGTTGTAGACCTCTCCGCTCTCCAGTGTGTTGCTGGATTCATCCTTGTGAGCCTTGTTCCACGCCAGGATGCCTCGTTCATGCTTTGATCCTGTTGGACACGTGTTAAATGTGTTAAACCCTTCTATCACGATCTACTGAAGGAATGAGATTGCTGACTTGTGTTATTCTCTGACATAGCTTGGTTGTATTCTAATAAAGCTTGGAAATGCTTTGCGTTTAAACTTACGTTAAAAACAGTCATTTTAGAAAAATTTTAGAACTCAGATTCAATCTCAAATTCTATTCCTAAAACTACTGAACACAATGGCTTCAGGCCGTAAGTATATAAAATAAAGATGTGTATTGACGCTTATTTGTTTAATCTCTTTAAAGTTTAAACTATAAAAAAGCCATATGTTAACGGTGAATGTCTCCCTGTTGTGAGCCTGTTTTAAATCTAACCCAAGCTAGTTGATAATCATGTCTCCAGACACCAATAACTTACTGGGTTATTCCTGGGTTTAATAATGTAATGAAATTGAACAAAAGTACCTGGAATTGTGTTGTCCAGCATGAAGCCAAAGAAACCTCCAACAAACATGCTGGTTGTCAGAAGAACCTGCAAGACCTGGTCGAGTTCAACAACACCTAAACACAATACAATGGAAATTGTTTGAGTAAAACCATATTATGATGCTTTTTCTGAAAAATGCAGATTGAATAAGGACATGTTATTAATGTACCTGTAGCAATAGCTGTGGGGTTCTTGAATATCCAGTTAGGAATGACCAGACCCGAGAACATGGAGAATCCAAAAATGAAGATGTTTCGAGAAGAATTCATATCTGCATACTGAAAATATGTAAAATAAAATAAAAACATTAGAGGAATGTATTGTCATGCAATATCTAGGACAATGTATGTACAATACAAAATTGCCACCATGATGTTTTAGAATGAGTACCTGCAGATTAGAAACTCCTGCTGCAGAGATGACGCCAAACATAACCATGAACATCCCTCCTACCACAGGGGATGGGATCGTAGTGAATATGGCGCCCACTTTACCAAACACACCCATGACAACCATCAGGACTCCACTGGCTACAATAACCATGCGACTACCAACCTGCAAAATAAATAGATAGATATAAACGTCTTCTCTTGAAACCGTCAACTGTTACATATATGTATACGTTTGACTGCTTGTTTGTCAGCAGGATTACAGAAACACTTCTGGCCCTACAGTATTGTTGAGATATGTGTTGGTAGTCTGTTGCATTGGCCACCAAAACTCCGTGGGACAGATAAAGAAATGATTTCAACTTTGGTTAAAATTGGAAAAGAAGGCATTTGGCTTTGGCCTTCTAGACAAGTCAAAGCCATTTGCTTTAAAGAACTTCCAGAAATACTCATTATGGTCTTACCTTTGTAATACCAAGTGCTCCAACATTCTCGCTGTATGAAGTGGTTCCATTTCCTGTACCCCAGGCTCCAGCCAACAGACAGCCCAGTCCCTCAATGCCAATACCCCTGTTGATGGCATGTTTAGGGGGAGGTGGCGCCCCAGAGAGCCTGGCACATGCGTGGTAGTCCCCTACAGACTCTATCATGGAGGAAATCACACCGGCCAAGATGCCAATCACCCCCGCCATACTCACAGTCGGCATCCCCCACTGACCTATGTTTGGATTCAAACATAAGGAAATAGAGATCAACACAATGTGTTAAGAGCCTGCAACCCTTTCATTTTCCAGTAACTTTTAATTAACAAAAAGTAACCATGCAATAGTTGGCTATATGGTGGCTTTTACCTGGGTACGGAAAACGAAACCAGGGAGCTTGGCTGATAACATCTCCCTTTAGATCAGTGCGGGCCAGGTAGCCATATTGACTTGGTTCACTAGGAAGCGCATTGTAGGTTGTTAAAATGTAGCAGATGAGCCAAGACAAAGTGATTCCAAGAAGAACCTGAGGACACAATCAAAAAAAGATAAGATCTAAAGACTAAACTAACAGTTTTCTTCATATATCTCTTTCGACTCCACTTCGAGCGATAGAATTACTAACAAAGAACTGCTAACAGAGCACTTATATACTAATAAAGGACTGGCTTATCTATAGCCAGTTGAGTAGCACTTGAAATGTTTGGCTCTATGAAACCTAATGTACTTATATGATTCTGTTTTCTTCAAGGTTGTGTCTTCCTGGTCGAATGCACTTATTGTCGCTTTGGATAAAAGCGTCAGCTAAATGTAATGTAATGTAATATATCTCAATGAACGTGTTTGATACCTACAGGGAGAATCTGAAAGACGTAGACATTGGACGTGTGCAGTTTTTTCTCCTTGCTGTACGTAGGGAATGGCACAGGTATGTGACGGAGGTATTGTGAGAACAGGATGATCAGTGCTATGGTCCTGTGTGAGACAAGAACAAAAACATTAGTATTTAACATTGTTTAATAATACAGAACTTAACTAGGTTGTTGCTAAGTCAAAAAAGCAAAGTACAGCAGCAACTAAGCAGGTTCTTTGGGAAGGATTTATTTAATAGGCTTTATTGGTGTGCCAAGAGATTAAGAGATAATATTTTTGAATACCCTGTGCTCTATGCAGGGGAGGAAGCAAGTTTAACATAACCTATAAGACAAGCTGGTATGAATGCATTACAATCAGATAAACCCCATTAAGCCAATAACTAACTTTACTAAACTGACAAGATATACCTTAAATGCAAGATAATCAGAACAGTAATTAGAAAAAAATATAGAATTGCAGATTACATAAATCACTTATTACTTTTACTGTAGCAGAAAGACCCTTTTTTTTATGTATTTCTTTAATTGTACCTACATAGTAGAGATGCCCCAGTGGTTGCCAGCACTGGTACCAGCTGAGTCAAACAGGGACAGTCCAATGAGAGAGATGGTGGGAGCGATGGTCAGAGGTCCAATGAAACGCATGAAGAGGCCGATGAGGCCGGAGAAACCTACAAACACCTGGAACAGTGAGCCCACCATAATGGACCCCTGCAGCTGAGGACAGACAACATCAGCATTTTGCATGGGTCAAGTGTTGGAGCTGGCATTATATTACTGTTAAACAGAATTTGAATTTTGTCCAAACAATGAGCATTTGTCCCAGCACAGCCAACATTAACTGATACAACAAATGATGTATTCCACACATAATTTCATTTCCACAGGACAGTCCTTAAAACAATGCCTTATTATTAAGTATGTTCTTAACGTTTCACTTTCACACAGAAAAGTTAAAATGACTATATTATAATATTGTTCTATTGCTGGTCATTCCAAAAGCTATTTTGAGAGATACTTAACCTTAGAACTTGAACTAAAAGTCTGAACAATTATATGCAGCAACATCTGAGTGAGTTCTCATATCTAATCATATTTAAATGTTAGGCAATGTAGACTCGATGGGGTTGCAACATAATTTAATAGGGTTACAAGATGGGTGTAGAGAAAAACAGTAACACATTTAGGACCAGGAAGTTGTTCTAAGATCATCACCTGTATTAATAATATATTCTTTCTTTGAATGTTTTTTATCTTGGTATATAAGTCTCAGATGGGGGATTTTTGACTGGTAATGGGGGAGGAAAAACTCATTGACTGCTTCCAAAGCCCACAGTGCCTGAAGCATATTGGATAGTCTGTTGAGGTGCTAGCTGTTCAATCCAGACAAAACTGTAAACACAAATAAAGCGTAATTTGCATTTATTAATCAGATCATTCACAGTGGTCACATGACACGTAACACTGTCAGTTATACCCAAAACAATTGCTTAGTGTCACTTTAAGTTATATGAAAGATGTTTTCTTTATCTGGTTTAGAGCTGTTGAATTAAGTTATTACAATATATCGCTATCTGTGAACTCGGTTTGCTTATTTTGCGAGTGTTTTCATAGTTCAGCAAAAGAAAAGATAAAAGAATAAGACAAGTTGTGGCTCTAGTTTTTAGTACAACACATTCATGTTCAACACTTGCCAGAGGCCCTTTACATGTGAAACAAAGTGAGTTGTGTTTATGATGGTTCACTTACTGCTCTCATTCGAGTCTGCCATACTTCAGTGAATTCTGTGGAGGAGGTGTTGACCAGGCTGGCATTTTGGGTCCAAGCAGGGCACTGCCACTCCGGCATGGACAGCATTGCCATGGACGGTGCCAGCAATGTGAAGGTCCCACCTTGAAGTATGGGCAGTCTGGAAATGGCAGAGATTCAAAGACATCAGGATGAATGAAACCACAAGTAGCCAGACAGATCTATTGTGTTTTAGGCATCATTAGCTATCATCATGTCAGATGGTACCCAAAATAGCTTGGAATTAATCAAGATAAAGGAAAAACCGAATTGTGGGGTGATTTTTGTGCAGTTGACATATGAAATGAATAAATATATATATATATCAGGCAGTTTAAAATATATATTATACTTTGTAGGTACATAAATAAGGGTTTTGGTTTATTATTATTTTTATTTTGTTTACACTTTCTTGATTGGGTAGCGTTATTGATTATGTATGTTAAAGATGAATATCGTTGTTTAGTTCTTGGAACGCGCCCTGGAGTGTGTGAATAATTTAGTATGAATGACTATTGAATAGGAGTTTGTCAAGGTACCATGCATGTTAACATGTTAGTTTATATTGCTTATTAAAAAGTCTGTTGTATATGTTTACATATTTACATTTTATTTATTTCTTAAATAACTTTTATTTATTGTTTTTAAATGTTGAAATCAACTTAATTCAATTCAATTCAGAATAGTCTTTATGTACCAGTTTCTTTTACTGATCAAACAGCTGATTCTCACAGTAGGTCACAGTTAGCACACATACAGTAACATGTTTAACTCATGGGAATATTTAAGAAACACAGCTAGCAAATATTGTTTGATTTGAGTTTATAATGTTTCATCTTGAGGGACATAAATAATTAGCTTCTCTAGGAACTTTTTAAACATACTGCTTCCTTTCTTCACAGCCGACCTCCAGGTATTTGGGAAAGACAAGAAAGCATCAGTGGTTCTAAGCCAGAAGAATGTGGATTTAGCAAGAGCTAGATTCCAAACATAATAAGATGGAAATTCCTGCCCTAATCCTACTGCGACACCGATATTCAGCCAGTCTGCACAAACATAATGAAAGTTCAGAGCATCGGAACTGGTTGAAGTTTGTCGTTCTCCAAAACAAACTCTGCAGCATGCAACAGAGGAGAAGTCCAGCTCCTACTGCATTCAATTGTATTAAATATAGTCATTTTATTTTGTATTGCATTGTATTTTATCATAAAATATAACTTTGTAGTATTGTTTTGGTACCTAAATATAAATGCCTGTTGGCATGATTACACTATTAAGTAACATTTATTGTACCAAAAAGGGTATTTTAATATGTAAGGCTGTGTTTGGTCATGTGTGTGTGTCTGCATGGGTGTATCTGTCTGTTCACAGATATTTACATAATGCTTGACACATTAGCCTAATATTTATTGTGCTCATTATCACGTATGCTCAAAGACCTTAAGTGTTTTGCATTAATTTACCCATTTTTTAAAATACGTATTCTTTGAACTGTTTATTGGTGGTCAGGGCCTGCGAGTGACCAACAATTCTTTCAGAGGCAAATGGCATTATTGGAAACAGGCTAGACTAAAAAACACACCTTACCTAGTCTCTTGCAGGCCACTTTTTGGCCTGTGTTGTGGATGAAATGTATAAAGTTAAGTTTGGTCTGAGTTCAAAACTGGAGAATCAGTGGATTTATTCCATACATTTGGCAGGATACGAGATGAATAAATCCAATTTTTGCTACATCTTGATTGTAAGTAAACTGTGATGGACAATTCACCAGGGGCGTTTCCTCAACCTGGAAACATTCGGGGCTTAGCCCACAGTGTTGACGCCCAGAGATTTTCTTTTGGGGGTGCTGTGGGGTAGCTTGACGTTTTCATAGAGGGGTGCTCAAAACACGTAGGGTTTCCCATTAAGGTACCGGGCTACAGTGGAATGTTCTACTGCAGCATTCTCCACCACACACACACACACACACACACACACACACACACACACACACACACACACACACACACACACACACACACACACACACACACACACACACACACACACACACACACACCACAACAGTGTACCGCGACGCTTGCTACAATGAAGGCTCGATAATCAGCTCACAGCATATAGGTGTAAGCAGATGTAAAGCGGGTGGACCTAACATCCTCTAGGGGGGGTCCTCCACCTCCTCTAGGGGGGTCCGGGGGCATGCTCCCCCGGAAGATTTGTTTTTAAATATTGAAGTCAAAAAGCATCAATCTGGTGCATTTTGAGAGCAAAATGAAGAGATCTATGGATAACATAGGCCAGGCGACGCCACTGCAATTCACTCTTCTTTGTTTAGGAGAGGAAGTCACTTTTGGCAGGGATCTACATTATACTGAGGGTACTTTTCCATTTCATTTTTTACTTATGTTTTCACACCTAAAAATACCTTACCATTTGTAAGGATCTTAAGGTAAAGCTGTACTTTCTCTCTGGTAATCCCTTAAATAAAAGCTGTGCCCAATTACAGAGTAAAGTATTGTGTTGTTCATGGTTAGGGCTTCACACTCACTTCAGCAGGCCTGCAGTTTAACAGAGGTTAAGAAGGAAGGATTGTTCTGCCGGTTTAATAAAAAGGAGCAGCATGACTAATTCCACTTTAATGCACCGTGCTACACTGCTGGATTTAAAACATGGACCAACAACGCATGGAAAAGAGCAGTGAAATGAAAAATCCAGCCAGTGATACATGTTAAAGAGAAATGTAAATGGTATCATCAGAATAAAATAAACATTGCTCTTTAACTTGTGTTAATTGACTGCCTTACCTGATGCCGAAGGTAACTTGCAGCAGAGTGCAAACACCGGAGACGAAGAAGATGGTGCTGATGAGGTGGCCTCTGTGTGATGCCATCAAACTGCAGACCACAACCCCTGAGACAGGATTAACGGAATGGCGATGATTCCTCCAAACGCCGGTCAAACAGTGCTGAGGGAACATAGACAGAGAAAAAGATAAGCTACATTTATGTTTGAAGTACAGTGGGAGGAATTAACAAAATGTTGTGTGACCCTGGGAAAACAATCAGCCTAAAGTAGTGGCTCAACCTGCATCCAAACAAAATGTTAGTAGAAACTGCACTGTAATTTTTTATTCATGTAATTTTTATTCATGTATTTTTTTCTTTTAATGTTTCTTTTATTATCTTTTATTTGTAATGACTGTTTTCAAATGCCTTTGTCTGAATTCTTTCATTTTTTGCTATACAGTATAAATAAACTTGCCTTGCCTTGCCTGAAGGGCTGCGTCAATAAGCAGTGGCTAGCCGTCACGGCCCTCTAGGCACCTCTGTGAGGGCCTAAGATATTCTAAAAAGTAATATTTGAAACATTTAAAAAAACAAAACGTTTTTTTTTAAAATATTTTTTTTAATATTTTGTTGTTGTTTACATTTTTCATTAGTTTTTTACCAAAATAACTTGATTTAAATTGTATTTAAAATAATATTTCCAAAAGAAATGAATCCTTCGATCTGCCTGTTCAGTTTCTGTTGGAATATGAAGGGTTAAATGCCGTCCTCTGCGAGTTATGTGAAGACGGGAGAGCTTGTTGGTCCCTCTACTACATTCACAGAGGGCCCGCTATAGTAACTCAACGAGAGAGTAATGTCAATGACAGTACAATTGACCAATCATATCTTCCCTCTAAATGGGCGGGATTTTTTTTCGCGGACTTTATGACAAGTTCCGGCCCGCTGTGAGGTCTATGCAAGTGGTTGCAGTGACGCATCCTAAAACCCGGAAGTAAGCTGCGCTCGGATTCCCCTTCTTATTATACATCCATGCAGGGTCGGCGTCATGGGGGGTCATTCGCGGGCCATGCCCCCCAAATGAGTCACTGTGCCCCCCCAACGCAGGGTGGGCAAGCCTTGTCACTTTGCCGATTTTTCTTTTTTTTATCATATAGGCTAAGTGAAAACGTTTCCCACTAAAGGTTTTTTGTGTGAAATACATCAGAAATAAATAATACAAATATAAAACACAGCCTGAGGTGTGCTCACTGCTGCTCTCTGATTGGTGTGTTGCTTGACCAATGACCCCCGACCTTTTTTTTGTTATCATTACGTGGCTGAGTGTTTAGATGAAAGCCCAGTGGCGATCTGTTCATCTGTTACACTGATTATACAGTAAAGCCATCGAAAATAATATGATATACAGTACAGTACAAGTACATGTGGTCTCTGTGTTTCATTCAAGCTCTGTGTGGTGTGGCACGAGCGCATTTTGTGAGTGCGCGAGCGGTAACGTGGAATGTTGTGGTTAGCATCTGGTTAGCTAGCTATGCTAACGGATATAAAGGGCTGTTTCTACACCAAGGTGGAGGACAGTCCTCTCCTGTCAGACTGAGAGGATCTTATAACGTCAGCTCAGTGAGGTAAGGACTCTCTCAGTGTTTAGATAGTTAACTTTAGGTAAGTTAATCTCAGTGGGTCTCAAACGTCACCATTTATGTAAGTATTTTCGAGGAATACCTTTATATGATCATTATAGTTATTAAAGAGAGAATAAATGAAAAACGGGTATGAAATACTATAGGACAGTAACACAAGAATATAGTTTAAAAAGGGGAATGATTAGTGAAATATCCATAAAGAAAAAGTAAATCTGTGTACAGTTCTGTTTCATATGGATGCTGAGAGATGTAGGCTATCCATAGATCTCTTCATTTTGCTCTCAAAGTGCACCAGATTGATGCATTTAACTTCAATATTTTAAAAATAATCTTCCCGGGGGAGCATGCCCCCAGACCCTCCTAGAGGAGGTTAGGTCCAACCCCCACCTAAAACATGTTCACATGGATAGGATACTAAATACATTTGCACACTTTTTATATGATGGCCTATGTCCATATCAAATCAAATCAAGTTTTATTGATATAGCACATTTTTCAACGATTTTTTGGTCGAGCCAAAGTGCTGTATATACAGTATAATACAAAAATAAACCTACAGTAAAGACACTTTACAGCAAATACAACAGCACAGTTTGTGCAGAATATCAGTATGAGAAAACGACACCCTCTGTCCTTATATGTTTCTGTTTTGGTGGTCGTGCCACAACCGTGCATGTATGCACAAGTCATAGGTGCACTATACAATAGCACTACACCCCTGCAATGTGTGTGAAAGACAATAGACTTTACAGCATGTTTTTTTTTAATTGAAGTTGCGTTGGTGTTTGTGTGTTGGTTGTTGACGGCAGTGTGTGCCCCCCCCTTGGTATATGATTGCCCCCCCCATTCAAGTTGTTCTAGAGCCGACTCTGCATCCATGGGATTCCCTCGACAGAAAGCAACGGGATTTCTCCATAGGGTTTTGGAAAATAGCTTGAAATAAGGTCTGTGGAAAACGAACCTGTTAAATAAATGCACGTTTTGTTCAGCCGGATAATATCCACATGTCTACACTAGTTTTATTATTTTCGAATCATAGATAGATGATTAGCATAGTTCGTTCGTGATGGCTCACTTCAGTGATAGTGATGATGACATCGTTGCGAAATTATTAACCGAGTCATTTTCAAAATTGAGTTAGCCTACAATGATAAACTGGAGTGGCAAAGGATCAGCTGAATGACCCGCAAGTGCTTCATCCAAAAGGACAGGAGGATGGACTGTGTGTTTAAGTGATTTGATCATCAAAGGTAGGCCTAAGTCATTTTCAATGTGGGCCGCCGTGCCGACTTAATTCATTTTTAATTGTTACTTGGCTGTGGGTGCCCTGTCATGATAGGTGTTTATATAAATGTTGTTGTTCTGTGTGGTAGAGGGTCGCTGTCATTGATGCGTTTTGCACCCCGGGCCGCTGTTTTGATATTCCGCTGAAGTATAAACTGTGACGTAATATCGCTTCTTTTCTTTCGAGGGGGGGGGGGGGGGGGGGGTCAGAGGGCCCTAGGTATAAAAGTCACGGCTCGCCACTGGTCCAATCAGGATGTTTGGGGATTACTGAGGTTATGTATTACTAAACACCAGAAACTTGGTTATGATTACAAAATAAAAAAGGAATTATTTTTTCAATAGATGTTTTTAATGCAGCAATAGATTGGTTGAATACTTATTTATGTATGTGCATAGTACAAATTATCAATTGCTTCTAAACCAACCAAGCTATTTGAGTCAGTATTGGCCTGAATCGGTATCAGTTCATCCCTATAAGTAACAAGTCTCTGGGTACACTTGGAAGGACCCGTGATTTATGCCGTGAAAGAGATACTAGCAGTTCAAATAGAAAGGAAAAAGTTTAAATGGAGCAATACAACTGAGTCAGGTCTTCAGAGGAAACACTAAATACATACAACCAATTCTCACTGACTTTACCATCCCAACTGTATCTGAAGCAAATTTCACAATCAGACATACATAAATAAAACCAAGTCTAACCAACCGTGAAGGTAGCGTCCAACGGAAGCTCTCATGGGACACTGTGGTCATGTTTGCATTGTAACAACACAAGCTACGCTACATTGGGCCCTTCTCACTTCTCTTATTTTTCATTTCCTCGCTCCTCGGTCTCGGTCTCACCGGAAGTTGATTTTTCTGCGCCATCTTGAGTAGCGTCCAAATGGCCTTATTTTTGCCCGAGGACCGAGGAGGGAGGAGCGAGGAGCGATAATGGAGGAGCTATAACCAAGGAACCACCAGACCATCCTTCGATGAAATCCGCAGACACTCGCCCCGCCCCCTTACTGTGTATCGCTCACTGATTGGACGAGGCAGTGCATGCACTGATCTGATGCTTCTTGACATGAGAGCAGTTTCCCAGCGGAGTGAAGAAAATACATGAACTTCACGGGAGTCACTCCTCAGTTTATATACCGTGTTTTGTTTCAATTAATGTATCATTTAGTTACACATATGTGATATATCTGAACAACTAAGTGGTCAAAAATCATTTTCTTCATTTATTGGAAACATTTTCATGATCGCTTTTTTCGTTTATATTTTAAGAATGGCGTTTATCTTTTTTGAGATTTAGTTCTTATTTTATTTAATGTATTTGGGTCTACAACAGATGATACAAATGTTTGTGTCAGTAAATGTGTACTAACAGAGGCGGGGGTGTGTGTGGAAATAACAGGGACAGAGCTGGCTGCTGTCAGACGATCAGCTGTGCAGCGTCATCACAAACGGACGTCGCTTCACGTGACACTCCGGAGGAAAGGACGTCCCATTGCTCTTAAAACTCATTTCCCTGCTTCTCGTGGTTTCCTTGCATCTCTCCATGCTTCCCTAGTGGGAGGGACTAGACGCAGGGAAACCAGGGTCGGCTCTAGAACAAATCGAATGGGGGGGCAATCATTTACCAAGGGGGGGGCACACACTGCCGTCAACAACCAACACACAAACACCAACGCAACTTCAATTTTAAAAAACATGCTGTAAAGTCTATTGTCTTTCACACACATTGCAGGGGTGTTGTGCTATTTTATAGCGCACCATGACTTGTGTGGGGGAAACTTCTGTGTAGCAATGCAGTGGGAGTCACCGACTCATGAAGGAGACACGGGAAGAGCAGGAGCTTTGATGTCAAACACTGATGGTTTATTTGGAGCTTCGGCCGGAGGATTCACATCACAAGTCACAGCAGCCACGATCTGACTGCATGGTAGAGTTGCCACGTCAATTCTGGAGCGCCTCTCTCTCGTTAGCCCATTTAACTGGTTCACAGAGAGTAATCAACATATTTGAGAAGATAGCCTAAACAGTTGGGAACACTGAGTGACTTGCGTCTGACACTTATGGCCTCGAAGATTTCACACCTTAGAGTCCACAAACACAGAGAAGGAAGTGTCCCAGTGTACCCACAACAATAAACCATCTGTGACCTAGGGTTTCCCGGTCATAGAATGGGAACAACAACATCATGGCTGAAGCAGCCTATCTCCTTAAAGGAGATAACAGACGTCAGGGTTGGTCATGCACGTCATATCTAGGAGTCTAGGACAATTATTTCCCTAACAACTTGTGCATACATGCACGGTTGTGGCACGACCACCAAAACAGAAACATATGGACATAGGCCACCATATAAAAAGTGTGCAAATGTATTTAGTATCCTATCCATGTGAACATGTTTTAGGTGGGGGTGGATCTAACCTGCTCTAGGAGGGTCTGGGGGCATGCTCCCCCGGGAAGATTATTTTTAAAATATTGAAGTTAAATGCATCAATCTGGTGCACTTTGAGAGCAAAATGAAGAGATCTATGGATAGCCTACATCTCTCAGCAGCACCCATATGAAACAGAACTGTAACAGATTTACTTTTTCTTTATGGATATTTTACTAATCACTCCCCTTTAAAACTGTATTCTTGTGTTAATGTCCTATAGTATTTCATACCCGTTTTTCATTTATTCTCTTATTTTTTTAATAACTATAATGATCATATAAAGGTGTTCCTCGCAAATACTTGTTTACATAAATGGTGACCAAACCGTTTGAGACCCACTGAGATAACTTACACTAAAGTGAACTATCTAAACACTGAGAGAGTCCTTACCTGTGGCTGAGGTTATACGATCTTTTCAGTCTGACAGGAGAGGACTCTCCTCCACCTTGGTGTAGAAACAGCTCTTTATATCCGTTAGCATAGCTAGCTAACCAGATGTGAACAACAACATTCCACGTTACCGCTCGCGCACTCACAAAATGCGCTCGTGCCACACACACAGAGCCGAGCTTGAATGAAACACAGAGACCCAGAAGTAGGCTACTTGTACTGTACTGTATATCATATTATTTTCGATGGCTTTACTGTATAATCAGTTTAACAGATCGCCACTGGGCTTTCATCTAAACACATAGCCACGTAATGATAACAAAACAAAAGTCGGGGGTCATTGGTCAAGCAACACACCAATCAGAGAGCAGCAGTGAGCACACCTCAGGCTGTGTTTTATATTTGTATTCTTTATTTCTGATGTATTTCACACAAACAACCTTTAGTGGAAACGTTTTCACAAAAAACAAAAAAAACGGCAAAGTGGTAAGGCTTGCCCACCCTGCGTTGGGGGGGCACAGTGACTCATTTGGGGGGGCATGGCCCGCGAATGACCCCCCATGACGCCGACCCTGAGGGAAACGACGCAAGTGAGGGACGCAAGGAATCCATTTAACCGAAGTGAGAAGGGCCCATAGGCTTTTAGGCAGGAAATGGCGGAAGAGACTCATTGTCAAACATCACCCTTTGCTGACGTACCTGGATGCCGAGGATGATGCACAGGTACCAGGGAGGCACATCTGTTACGCAGTATACTAGCTTGTTGTTGTCTGACTCCATGGACATGTCCAATTCTTCTCCATGTTGTGTGTCCGGTAGATCACAAGAGCGCCCTTCACGCTTTAATTTGACGGATAGAGACACGGGTGAATTAGAGATATATATGAAATAATGGAAATCTGTAACTTTGACAAACATGAAATTAATATTACATCAAAGAAAATGCTTTAATAGCCACATAACTATAGGACACTCATAGACTTATAATTCCCAGTAAGGAAATGTGGTTAGCTCATGACTTGCACTACAAATTGATTTTCCTTCTTTCATCCAAGATAAAGTAGGATTATAAAACAACACGCTAGAGTCAGATGAGCTATTATGTATTTATTTTCAAAAAAGTGTAATCGCTCAAGATTGAGACTCAACACTACTGTTTGTCTGACTAAACAGCATGTCACTTATCTCTTCAATAATGTGATTTTAAGCATGGAGGCGCAAGAATGTAAACAAGTACATTCACATGTCTCCATGACGCTACTTTGCTAGCTGCTCTTTCTGTTGTTAATTATTAACTGATCAAAAAAAAAGTAGTTTCTAATGTGGCATTAAACATCACAACACGTGGATTATCCAGTTCAGTGATAAGAGGAGAGATACATCTATAATTGTTACTTGCAGATGTGTTCACATTCACTCATATAAAAGGAAAAAAACCTAACCTTGATCTGAGCCTATACGTTAATATTTGTACACTATTGTAGAAAAGCACACATTTAAAAGTGTGTTGCATTCAAAGACATTTTTCTATAGGATATAACTAAATGAAATGTAAGTAATACTCACTGCAAATGCATAGTTGTCAAGACCATTACTGTTCTTTTCTGGAGCCATGTCAGCTTCAGCCCTATAGGCTCAGGTGGTGGTCCTCTGGGGCCGAAATCAAAACAGAAAAGTGAAATAACATTAGCGAGAGGGGAGGGAGCTCATCAAGAGAGGACGGGGGAGTCTAAAAGGGGAGATCTGGGAGGCGGGAGGAGGCGGGAGGGGTTGGCAGTTTGCTATGAAGGAGCAGAGTTCAGACATAAGACTGCTGCGCTTGTTGACTGAAATGACTCCCACCAGCAGCTCATGTGAGCCCAATTACAACTGAAAGAGCAGCTGACCAACCAGCATCTGCTAGGTAGGGCTTAGCCATTGAGACGTATTTTTTAACTCACGCTCTTTTTTTCTCAATTTCTTTATCTCCTTGCATCGACCTTAAAAAAGCCTGCACAGTTGTTTAAAGGTCCCCTATTATACTGTTTTTCATCAATATATTACAGGTCTCAGATATATACAAAACATGTCTCCGAAGTGTTTGGCTGAAATACCAAACAGATCATTACAGCATCCCATAATCCCCTCTGTTTCAGCCCTGTTTCCAAAGTGCTGATTCTCTGTCTGTTACTTTAGATGAAAATAAGGAGCCCCTCCCCACGCCCCTCTGAGAGATATTTGGTTAAAAAGAACACAATGGTGCTCTAGGAGGAGATGCCGGTGATAAGGTGGGGGGGGGGGGGGGGGGGGGGGGGGGGGGGGGGTTGGCTAATGGTTACACAAGCCAACAAAACATTATGACATCATAAAGTGGCCAAAATCTGATCAGCTCATTTTCAGACAGGTTTTTATATAAATGGGTCAGGACAAAAAGTGAGCGAATCTTTTTCCTGAAACTTCAGAATCTCTTTACCCAGAGGGGACACATGTTTATGTATAAAAGACATGAAAAAGGGGATTGTGCATAATAGGTGACCTTTAAGACAGAGTCAAATGTCAATAGTCAGAAAAGCCTTTAGGCCATAGCTTGTGCCCTTTCCATCACCAACCTTCCAAGCTCTAACATGATGCCAAACTGTCACATGCTGCCATTGATGACGGGTAGATGTTCAGTAAATGTTAACTTAATTTACTAATTTACCGTAAAGCTCCATTTCCCCTGAAATGATATTAGAATAAATTATATTATTTGTCTAAATTAAGAGTTTGATAGCAGCCCACATCTACTTCATTAAAGAGGTCGTAGTACGACAGCCGAGAAGGTTCAGATTCTAACACCATTTGCATGTGTAGGCCGGATCATTTCCTCAGCCTCTGTGACAGAGAACAGGATTGTTGTCTGCATCTCGTCTTGTTTCAAAGTCAAAAGAGGTCACAGATGGATAGCTAACACTGGAAAGTAGACAAAGCAAGCAAGAGGCTATTAATAAACGTATTAAGAGTTGTCTTCGCTTTTAGGGAATGTATAAAACTAGGGAATGGGAGCTGGAAAAAATGCACCAAATAGAAAAGTTAAAGGAAATTGAGCTCACATGAAACTTTGAAAAGCACAGAGAGAACAATGTGGGGACATCATGAGGTCTTCTGCTCTGTGTGCATGTGACTCTGTGCACTACACATCACAAGGATCCCCAGGGCTGTCCCTCCCTACAGGAAGATCACGCAGGGGGCCTCACCTCGCGGAGGGGGCCTCATCTTGCGGACGGAGGTCTCCGCTGCTGCTCCAGCACCCACCGTCCCCGTCGACGCTCGCGAAACAGAGAGCCTCTTCATCTAACTTTGTGTGGGGCCTCAAGTTGGCCAGGGATGGCCCTGAAGATCCCTCACATGTCAGGTAGCGAAGATCTGTGATGGTGTCAGTATTCTTTCATATCACTCAATGAAGCGTCACACCTCTTGATTGGACTGATAATAAGCAGCTGAGCCATTGTCGTCATCTGCTCTAACAGAATAACTCAACATGCATCATTATGTGTCAATGTGTGTCCAATCACCAAAGCATAGCTCAATGTGTGAAGAAAGAAGTATGCTTTCTTTCCACCCAACCTGTTGTTGATCACGTCAGTCTCTGTAGCTCAGAAGCACATGATCACATTTAGCCTCAGAGACAGTGAACTTTCTCAAGTGTGTGTTTCAGAGGCTTCTCTATAATCAAATTGGGATAGGGGCAGTTAGCAATCAATGACTGAGTGCACAGTATTTATTTAACAGAATAATGTGCTGCACGTGTGCTAAACAAAGCTGATCATGAATGTTGTTTCAACAATAATTATTATGTGAAATGAAAGCTATCTAAAAGGGCATTCTCTCCTTTTCAAAATGAGTGTTGTCCAGATGTGGGAAGTAACTTACATTTACTCAAGTACTGTACTTAAGTAGAATTTTGAGATACTTGTACTTTACTTGAGTATTTCAATGTTATGCTACTTTACTTGAAGACAAGGCAAGTTTATTTATATATTACTTTTCTGTACGCGACAATTCAAAGTGCTTTACAAAACAAATTAAAAGACTTTTTAGGAATAAATACAGTAAAAACACATTATATAATGGCATTTTACTACAGGCATTACAAAGCAAAGATAATAAAAATAAACACCACATGTATACAATACATGTTTAAAAGGCATACTGTAGTGTGAATATGAGCAGCTCAATTAAAAGCAGGGGCAAAGAGATATGTTTTTAGTACCGATTTAAAAATAATAAGCGTTTCTGCGGACGTGCATGATTTGGGTAGTTTGTTCCAGAGTGTCGTGGCATAACAGCTAAATGCTGCCTCTCCATGTTTTGTTTTTATCAATCAATGTTTATTTATATAGCCCAATATCACAAATGTTACATTTGTCTCAGTGGTCTTCACAGTTTGTACAGAATATCAGTATGACAATACGACACCCTCTGTCCTTAGACCCTCACATCGTACAAGGAAAAACTTCCAGAGAAAACCCACAGTTTAAAGGGAACATGGGAGAAACCTCAGGGAGAGCAACAGAGGAGGGATCCCTCTCCCAGGACAGACAGGCGTGCAATAGATGCCGTATATAAATCGAAAAGATAATACATTTACAACATAGGTAGTCCAAATGTTTGGAAATGCATGTGTCTATAATAAGAAGATGAATCCACGAGGATGTCAGCAATCTTGTGGGAGCCATCAGGGAAGTAGTATGGTGAGAGTCAGTCAGGACCGCAGAGACAGGTTCAGCCAGGACTCGAAGTCCAGGACTCAGATCCAGTGCTCAGATTAGAGGATCCAGGACATACGACCACAGCAACAGGATTAGCCTCGACACAGGATCCCGGGGTATATATGGACACAAAAGAGAGATTTGGGGGAAGCTGGGTTAATCGTTTTACTCTCGGAACCGATAGCAGACCCGTCCCAGAAGACCTGAGGCACCTTGATGGCTCGTAATTATGTAGGAGTTCAACCATATACTTTGGTCCTAAACCATTTAATGATTTAAAAACTAGCAATAGTACTTTAAAATCAATTCTTTGGCCGACTGGAAGCCAATGTAAAGATTTCAGAACCGGACTGATGTGATCCACTCTTTTAATGTTAGTGAGGACACGTGCAGCAGCGTTCTGAATCAGCTGCAGCTTTCTAATGGATTTTTTTGTCAGCCCTGTGAATACACTATTGCAGTAGTCGAGTCTACTAAAGATAAAAGCATGGACAAGCTTTTCTAAGTCCTGTTGTGACATTATTTTTGTAATCCTTGAGTACAATTCAGAAATAAATTGTGTACTTTATTGTGTACAGTTAGTTACTTTGCGGATTAATGTTATAAAACATATAATATAAATGATTCTTAAATGGGCCAATCTGCATAATGAGTTATTTTACTTTTGGTACTTTAAGTATATTTGAATGCCAATACTTTTGTAGTTTTACTTGAGTAACAATTTGAATGCAGGACTTTTACTTGTGTAAGTATTCCTACCCTCTAGTACTTCTACTTTTACTGAATTACAAGATCTGAGTATTTCTCTCTGGACAGCGTAAAGAATAAGTTTGACATTAGAGGGAATTTTAGTTTAGTTTAGAAATATGCGATCTCATTCTTTTCAAAAGATACCTTACACTGAATATTATCTTAGTACCCTGTTCTGTGATCAAGGGCAGATAAGGTTTAGTAATATTGTATCACTAAAACAACACCAATACATTGTTGGATAACAACCATATACAGTCTATGATAACAACAGGACAATTAAGTTATTTATCCACACTGGATGAAAAAGTCCACATGTTGTGTTCAAAGAATGTGGTGTCTTTTGATTCAAGACAAGGCAAGTTTATTTATATAGCACATTTCAACACAAGGCAATTCAAAGTGCTTTACAAAAATGACAGACATTAAGAGCATTAAGAAACATATTATAAAATCGTATTTAAAAACACTAATTTAAAAGCAATGATATCAAATGAAATGTAAAAACACTAATTTAAAAGCAAAGATAAAAAGCAAAGATAGTAAAGTTACAGTGCAGCGGCAAAAAGAAAAGTCTTCAGCCTGGATTTAAAAGTAGTCAGAGTTGCAGCGGACCTGCAGGTTTCTGGGAGTTTGTTCCAGATATTTGGAGCATAATAACTGAACGCTGCTTCTCCATGTTTAGTTCTGACTCTGGGGACAGAAAGCAGACCAGTCCCTGAAGACCTGAGAGATCTGGATGGTTCATAATTTAGCAGTAGGTCAGAAATGTATTTTGGGCCTAAACCATTAATGCTTTATAAACCAGCAGCAGTATTTTGAAATCAATTATTTGACACACAGGAAGCCAGTGTAAAGACTTCAGAACAGGAGTGATGTGATCCACTTTCTTAGTGTTAGTGAGGACTCGAGCAGCAGCGTTCTGAATCAGCTGCAGCTTTCTAATAGATTTTTTAGTGAGACCTGTAAAGACACCATTGCAGTAGTCGAGTCTACTGAAGATAAAAGCATGGACAAGTTTTTCCAAATCCTGCTGTGACATTAGTCTTTTAATCCTAGATATATTCTTTAGGTGATAGTAAGCTGATTTAGTAACTGTTTTAATGTGACTGTTGAAACTCAGGTCAGAGTCCA